GAGGTCTACCATCCTATGACTAAGTTACTCCTACAAAACCAAAACAAGCAACTGAACACCATTGCCATTGTAGAGTTGATCCCTTCCCAGTTCCAAGGCTGTAAACCTTGATGCTGTCAATCTTAAGCCACTGGCCCCTCCAGTCAGCAGTAATTCATGACAACACTGAAATGGTCACCACGCATCACTTTATTTCCCCCCCACCAGGCAGCATTCAAAAAAGGTATCAGAGCAAGCCTTCTACTGCCGGATATAATTATTTCTCCACTTCGCTCCAAAACTTTAATGACTCTCTGTCTCCCTTAGCCTTATCAACTGAATTATTTTCACATCTTGGGGAAATTAGATTCTTTACACAAAAGATCATTTATTCCCTCCTATTTATGCATGCTGGAAATTCCAAGAAAACTGGGGGGGGGGAACACCATTTTCATAGATAACTCACATGACCCCAATTCTATGCCTTTATCAATTATTTTCTCTCTACTTACAATTTCTTCTTCATACTTCTAGTGAACAGAATAATGACCTCCCAGAGCTGCCCAGGAAAGTTCTGATGGTGTAGATCATGGGTAGATGCACTGCTAGCCCAAATGCTACACTTCTCTGGCAGTTCAAATCCACCAGCGGCTGTGAGAGACAAAGATGGGCAGTCTTCTCCCTTAAAATTTACAGCCATGGTGGATCAGCTACTAAACAGTTTCAACTCAACAGTAGTGAATGAGTGAGTGACTGAGACATGTACATGGCTTCATTTCTAGAACCCAGTGCTGTACAGTCAACTTTGACTCACTACAACCAGACTGGCTTTCAGAGGCTGCACATCTCCAGGAGGTAGACAGCTTCATCTTTCTCAAATGGAGCAGCTGGTGGGGCCAAATGACCAACTCTGCAGTTAGCAGTCAAACACAAAATGACAGCGTGGCAGAAAAAGGTGCAATACTGCTGACTTTGAAGCTTGAGAAAGAAGCCACAAGTCAAAGAATGTAGGCAGTTTCAAGCAAAGAAAAGGATTTTTCTCTGTACTTTTGACAAAGGAATACAGTCCTGTGGGCACCATGAAGTTACAAATTTAGACAATTGTGTATTGTTTCAAACCACTAAGTTTCTGTTAATTTTTATGACAGTAATAAAAATAACTGCACTCTATCTTTAATATCAAATAACAGCTCTGGTGGCCTAGGGCGTAAGGAGTTGCACTGTCAACACAAATGCATTTTAGAATGGATCAATATACTAACTAGACTAAAATTTATATATTCAAAAGATGAACAATTAAACATAAGGTACAAACCAAAGAGATCAATGTTATTAAACAAAATATATTCCTGTAACAATGATATTATATATATGTATTTAAAAAAAAAAAAACAACAACAAAACACCAAAACCCACATGCAACTAGTAGCAAAGATCCAAACTGTGATCAGAAACAAGCTTCCCAGTTCATTGAAAATGTAACATGATTTGAAAGTTTCAATATCTTCTCCTAAGAGAATCAAGACACCTTTTATACTTAAGTTAAAAATGTAACAAAGCATAATGACTTTGTAAAGTTAGGCATGTGGCCAGGAGGGACCAATCCTTGGGGAAGGACATCATGCTCAGAAGGGTAGAGGGACAGCACAGGAGTGGAAGACCCCACATGGGATAGATTGATACAGTAACTAGAGGAATGGGGGTAGGTGTATCAGATTCAGTGAGACTGGCTCAGGACAGGACAGGCTGTAGAGCTAGTGTACAAAAGGTTGCTATGAGTTGCAGGTGACTCAACAGCACATAACAACAACAAAATAGGTAATTTCAGTAATTTTCTAATAAAGAAAACCTGTTCCATTTTTGGTACTTCCCCAAATGTGAAAAGAAAACATCCATAAAACTTCCTTGACAATTTAATTTGAAAGAAGGCAAGCTTCAATCACAGGCATAACTATTTGAAAATATTTAAATGTAAGTGAAAATAAGCAATGAGTGTCTCTGGTGGTGGTTAAAATAAAAAACTGAAATTCAAGCTAAGTGATAGCAAATATCCATGGGATGTCTTCATCTGAGAGCAAGCGATAAGGTGACAAGTGATTCAGGAAACTGATTTCTAACAGTAAGAAACTCACATCTCCATTAGAGACACTATGGGTTGAAGGAATTCTCTTAATATCTAAGCAGATTTCCTAATTCATTCATCAGTTGCTATTGAGTCGACTCCAACGGGTGGGGGCCACATGTCTAAGCATATGTTCCATGGTGTTTTAATGACAAATTTTCAGGGGATGTTTTCTTTTTAAAGTCATTTAGTATTTTTGTTCTCAAACATTTATGTTTTTTAAAATTCGCACTATTGTTCTTATGTACCACAGAGTTAGAACTGACCCATAGCTGACCTTTAAGTGGGTTTTCAGAGGCAGTAAATAGTACAAGGGGAGATGATCCCTCTTTCTCCCACACATCAGGCTGGGGATTGAACATATGTCTTTGGGTTGGCAAGGCAGCTCCTTACCACTAGTCCACCAAAGCTCCATAAATGTACTATGGATAATTACTTTGTTGTTGTTGCTACGTGCTGTCAAAACTATGATTCATAGCTACCCTATGAACAACAGCTCTGAATCTTGCCCTATCCTGAGCCAATCTCACTGCCCGTGACACTTCTCACTCCACTGCCACAGTCATGTAACTATCTCATCTAGGGTCTTCCTCTTTTGCTCTGATGCTATCCCCTTCTAAGTATGATGCCATTCTCTGAGGACTGGCTCTCCCTGATAACATGACTGAAGTATGTTGTTGTTGTTGTTTGATGCCGTCGAGTTGTAGATGACTCATTGTGACCCTATGAACGAACAGCCTGAGCACTGTTCGCACATAGAGTTTCCAGAGGCAAGAGTTTAAAAATCACTGCCTATAAGAAACAGCTTGGCTTCCCCTTCTCTAGGACACACCCGTTTGTTCTCTTCGCAGTCCATATGTTCAGTACTCTTTTTCAGCAGTACAACTTAAAGACATTGATTCCTCTTCTGTCATCCAACTGGACCGGGAGGCCCAGAACACCAATCCCACTGGGAGCAGGATGCAGACGTATGCCACAAGCCAGTCTGGAACCATCTTCACGGGGGAGCACCCAGATAACAAATAGGCAAGACTGGAGCCTAAGCCATCTTATTAGGGGTTAGGCAGAGATCTCTCCTTATGACCCTTAATCAAGAAAGACTGATGCGCCCACCTGAGATCAAGCTAAGAAAACCTCAGGCTATCTGGACCTTGTGCTGCTGCCTTGATGTAGAAATTCCTGCCACCCATGCTATTAAATCTGTAGTTTCTTGTCCTTATGGTTTGCTCTTGAGGGTGTCATTTACAAGTCAGTTTTTATATTGGGGAAGTGTCTTTGCATGTTGCAGCTCTTAATAACTTAGATATACAAGTCTGCTTGTTTATCATCTGCTCTTCTGGGTACAGCGCTTGTCTGTCAGATGCTGTACTAAAGGAGAGCTCCCAAACTAAGCCAGAGTAGAACAGGGACTGGTCTACTTCTGAAATTAAAAAGCTTGGAAAATTCTACCAAAAAAAAAAGAGCACACTTAAACTCTTAAACTATTAGATACAGCACTGGAGACTGAGCCCCCCTATTGGAAGACATAGAGGAGGAATAATTGCAAACATCCACTAATAATTGGAATGTGGAACATATGAAGTATGAATGTAAGAAAACTGGACACTGTTTAAAAAAGAAATTAAATGTATAACTATTGACATACTTAGGCATTAGCAAGCTGAGATGGATGGGCATCTCATCCTTGAATCAGACACGTACATGATCCACTATGCCAAGAATGAAAAAGTGAAGGAAAATGGGGTTGTAGTCATAGTAAAAAAGACCATTTCTAAATCCATGCTGAGGTATAATGTTGTGAGTGACAGGATACTATCCATACACATACAAGGAAGATCTGTTAATATTACTACCATTCAAATATACACACCAAAGAAATGAGGATGACAAGTAATTAGATAGTATTACGTTGGAAATGAATTTGTATACTATTTTAATTTTCCTTCTCCTGAATTTAGTGTGTTTTTTTTTAAATGACGTTGTGTTGTGTGCATGTTTGTACTGTTTAACGTAGAGTTGGAACTGACCAATAGCTGGACCTCCATTTGGTTTTCATAGGCAATTCATCACACAAGTGGAGAGTTCCCATCTTTCTCCTGCAGAGTGACTGGTGGCCTCAAACCACGAGTCTTTGGGATTGCACTGCAGCTTCTTGTTATTAAACCAGCAGAGCTCCCTAAAATGAAGCAACACTACAAAATTTTCAAAGCTCAATGGATGTTTGCTACCACTCTCTCATCTTCTCAAATATGCTCACAACTGAATATAGAATTGACATTTGGGAAATGAATGAATGGAATCCTGGGTGCCACAAACAGTTAAAGCCATCATCCACTAATAGAAAAGGTTAGAGTTCATCAACAGATGTGGGGGGGGGGGGAAAGCCAGGTTAAACACATCTAAAAATTTTGTAATAAAAACTCTATGGAGGACAATTTAACTGTGACACAGGGAATTACAGGTGCACTGGAATTAACTAAACGGCAAAGGTAAAAGAGGTAGCAAATACGTCCTTGATATTAAGAGTTGTCAGAGTAGAGTCCCATATAATTAGGAAATTAGCTGGGTTCAAATACTTAAGAGTCTTTTTGTGATTCTTTTTCCTCAAGAAAATAATCAATTACTTGACTGTGACACATGTCCAAGAAAAAGGAAAAGTTCATTCATGGAGTATATTAAATACAGTGAAACCTGTGGGAGCCTGAACTTGAAAGGCCTGCCTTCTTGTTCCAGGTCTGACAAACTTTCCAAGTTTGACATGATAAAGTTTATAGTTCTTCCATTGATCTTTAGCAGTAGAAGATATTTGAGTTTTCCTTCTGACAGGTCTTCATGTTACACAGATTCCAACTTTATCTGCTTTTATGCTATATTATGAGCATAAATGGGGACAGCTTACCCAGTATTGATGGAAATGATTTCTATCAGTGGATTCTTCCTAATCTTTGGCAAATCCAACCGTGCTCCCCCCAAGCGTTTTCCATTATCCTTTTTCTGACCCAGCAGTCTCACCGAGTGACCTTCAAAATAAAACACATTAAATAAACATCAGGAGAGTCTCACTACATCATTTTATGCTTTTCATGAGGTTAACATTTTCATTTAAGAAACAATAAAAAATCAGAGAAGATGCAAACATTTGACTCTAAGAAACATTAGCACTTGAGGGGAAGTAGCTGTGCCAAAAGTATATCAACTGTATTATCTATACATTGATCTGCATGGATGAGAGAACCAGAAATAATCTCAGAAAGTAATTGCACAGGTAAGAATGCTTCATAGCATAGACTTAACACTCAGAGACAGCAGAAAAGGTCCGTGTACACATCGAGATTGCCTGCAAATGAGTTCATGGTAGGATGGGGGTGGGGGAGCGATTGAGATGCAAAAGTAGGTTAGGTACTCAAATAAGCAATAAATCAAAAGAGTAAATAAAATAACACTAAAGCAATGTTTTAATTTCATTTAAAAAACATATAAAATAGTTGAGATCATTTCTATTTTCTCTTATTTTACAACTGTGAAATAATTTCAGAATTAAAGATGAAAGATTAGTAAAAGAAGTCACATAGTTTTCTGATGGTCCAATTTTCTTTCATTTAATCCTATACTGTGTGAATTTCCCCTTTATATATGTAGACATACTATACCTAAACACATATACACATACATTCAGTGTTATATAGACTACAGATTATATTAGACTTTTCATAGTTTTAGTTAAGGATATTTAAGTACATTACATACTTTTCACAGGTACACTAATCAATAATCTTTAATACTGTAACTATACACCTACATATTCATCACAGCAATCCAGTTTCAATGTATTTCTAACTCCCTAAAACAAACAAAAAATTCAATTGTTTTCGTTGTGGTTGTTATGTGCCATTGAGTCGTCTGCGACTCATAGCTACCCTATGTACAACAGCCCTAAAACCTGCTCTATCCTGTGCCAACCTTAATGTCTTTGATACATCTACTCCCATTGCCCCAGTGACTGAATCAATCCATTTCATTAAGAGTCTTCCTCTCCTGAACTGTCCCTTCACCCTCCCAAGCATGATGTCCCTCTCCAAGGACTGGTCCCTGTTTGTAACATGTCCAAAGTAGGTCAGATGAAGCTTCAGAATCCTTGCCTCCAAGGAGCAGCTGGGTTTCGCCTTCTCCAGGACAAACTTGTTTGGTCTCTTGGCAGTCCAGGGTATATTCAACACTCTTCTCCAGCACCACAGCTCAAAGGCATCAATTCTTTTTCTATCATCCCTAGTCATTGTCCAGCTCTCTGATGCATAGCGGGAAATTGCGAAGACTATGGGCCAGATCAGGTGCACCTCAGTCACCAGACTGATGTCGTTGCTCCTTAGAACCTTGAAGAGGTCTCTGACAGACGACTTTCCCAATGCAATATGTCTTTTAATTTCCTGGCTGCTGGTACCAAGAGTGTTGATTAAAGAGCCAATCAAACTAAAACTGTTAATAACCTGTCATCCATCATGATGCTGCCAATTGGCCCAGTGGTGAGAATCTTTGTTTTCTTGGTATTGAGCTTCAATCCATATTGAAGGCTGCAGTCCTTGATCTCCTGCAGCAAGCACTTCAGAGCCTCCTCAGTTTCAGCAAGCAGGGTTGTGTCATCTGCATAACACAGGTTGTGTATCACATAGGATATTCTATTTTCCTGGGGGTGGGTATATGGATTCTTTCTAGTTAATAGGTCTTAAAATAATGTTCAGGTGAACACTCACAAATAATATCTTTATGTAGATGCATACTTTCACTTTCTAAGATAGACTGCTGCCTAACATGGTTAATCTATGTTTAACTGTGTGTATGTGTATTTATTTAGAAAAACAGGCAGTTAATTTCACCCAAAGACTTTAGTCAACTCCTGCTCTAGCAATACTAATAGTAGCTACCAGACACTTGTGATTAACAAGCACTCAAAATATGCTACAAACATATATATGCCTAACATTCTTAAGACTGTCAAAATTTATTTCCAAAGTAATTGTACGTCCTGGTGATATAGTGCATTATAGGTTGGACTGCTAAAAAAAAGGTCAGTAGTTCAAATTCACCAGGCACCTCAAGTCAAGAAAGAGGAAACTATTCGTGCTAAGATTTCCAGCCTCAGAAAACAGAAGATCAGCATGAGTTGAAATTAACCTACTATTGATTGCCATTGAGAAGAATGAGGTCCCCAAAACAGTTAATTATGTTCTTTGAACAGAGTAAGGGAACACTGTATGGTTTAAAACCAGGAAAGATGTGCATCAGGGTGTAATTATTTTTCCATATCTATTCAGTCTGTAAACTGAGCAAATCATTCAAGAAGCTGGACTCTTCAAAGAAGAATGTGACATCTAGATTGGAAGAATCATCATCAACAATCTACATTATATGTAGATGACACAATCTGGCTTGCTGGAAGTAAGGAAGACTTAAAACATTTGCTATAGAAGATCAAAGACTGCTGCAGCCTTCTCTATGGATTGCATCTCAACATCAAAAAGATAAAAATCTTTACCACTAGACTAATAACCAACATGATGGATGGAGAAAAGATTGAAACTGTCAATGATTTCTTCTTCCTTGGATCCACAATCAACACCTTTGGTATCAGCAGTCAGGAGATCTGAGGCATGGTGTAAGGTCTCTGTCATAGATCTCTCCAAATTACTGAGGAGAAATAATGTTAGTTTGAGAATGAGGTATGCCTGATTCAGGCCATGGTCTTTTAAAATCACTTGTTATGCATCTGAGAGCCAGAAAATGCATAAGGTTAGCTGAACAAGAAGTGATGCATTTTGTTGGATAAGAATACTGAATATCCAATGAACTTAAAAAAAAAAAAAAACCTCCACAGGTATGTCTTGGGAAAAATGCAGCCAGAGTGCTCCTTGGAGGCAAGGATGGCAAAACTTAGCTCAGAAACTTTACGCATGCTGTTAGGAGAGGCTCTTCCTGGGAGAGGAATATCATGCTTGGAAAAGAGGAGCACCAGCAAAAGAGAATGATCATCAATGAGACAGACCAACATAGTGACTACAGCAAGTGGCTCAAGTGTGTCAGAGGACGGCACATGATACGAAAGGATTCAGATCTATTGTTCACAGGATACTATGAGTTGTACTTGATCCCAGAGCACCTAACAACAACAGGGTGAGGTAAGATGCTGTACCTTTACATAGAATTGTTAGCCAGTTTGGTGAACTGTCTACTATTTTATGAGTAGCTGAAACAGAATATTTGTCTTATTAAGGAGTTATGAGAATTCTTCATATATTCTGGTTATACAGCTTTAACAGAAACATGATTACTATTTTGTCTTAATTGGTGACATACTTTTACTTTCAAACGATTTCTTTGAAAAATTAAATGTTTTTAAGTATATTAAATCCAATTTATAATTTTTTCTTTAAATAATTTATGTTTTGTGCATCAGATTATCAACTTTTTTCCAGTCCAACAGCACAAATATATCTCAATGTGCTCTTCTATGATTTCTAGGTTTAACTCTTACACTTAGATCTAGAACCCACACTCATCTGTTATAAAACCATGTGCTGAAATCCTAAACTCTCTAGGTTGAATGTGATTCTGTTTGGAAATACAATTTTTCCTTTTTTGTATTAATTATATCATTCCTAGTACCAGGTGTGGACTCTATACCTTCTTGTTTCTAAATTTTAAGATCAGAATAGACAGCAAGGAGTCTGTTCTGGTCATCCACAAAGAAACACTGTGGATGACGATCATCCACAAAGAAAACACTAAAGAGCCAAAGAAGGTCAGGGGCTGCCAACAAGGAGGTATGAGATATGTCAAGACACTGATATGAACATTTTGGGGGAGAATTTCAAAGGGTTGTATACATATAGAAATATTATCTGCTATAAATACAGTTTCGTTTCTTTGTTTCTGATAAGCAGGCAGCTATTGGCAAGAACTACCGGTGCTCAATGTTGAAAAGAGAGACATATAAGGTTGGGAGAAAAGCATTCTCTTTTTCTCAATTAAGTTAAATTTTAACTGCAAATTTTTTTTTCTTAGATGCTGTTTAGCAGGCTGAAGGAAGTTTATCACAAACAAGAAATTTTACCATGAATGAATATTTGGATTTTGATAAATGCTTTGTCTATTGAGATGATTCTGTGAATTCTGTCTATTCTTTTATTTAAACTGAATGTTTTCACTGGTTTTAGGATACAAACTAAATAAGACCTACAAGGGGGTAGGGGGGTGGAAATCAACTTTGAAGGTTTGCTGTTTTGGTTTGTGGCCATTTTGGTTAAAAATGTTCATGAGGATAGTGTCTGCAGGTTTAGTTTTGTGTGATAACATGACTTGGGTATTAAACTAACACTGAAATCACAAAATGTGACTGTTTTCTCCAAGTGTTTGTAAAGGACAGTACTGGACCAGGAAGGGTTTGGTTCTCTTGTGTACAAAATCATGGGTTTGGAGGTGATTTCAAAGCACCTCCCAAAACATGTTAACAAAGCAGTGTGGTCATTTTGGACAGTTCCAGTCACCGAGATCTCACCACAAATCCGTGCTAAGGGAAGAGACAATATACAACATGCACCATTTACATTTAGCAGATACCACAGAATGCAAGGAACTGCCTCTTCTTGATCGATTTCACATGTAAAGCCATCACAGCATGAGGTTTTCTCTTAGCAAAGATTTTTTTTTTATATAAGTAATTCAATTTCCTTGATTGCTAGGTATCTTAAGGAAGGAGTTAGTCTGGAAAAATGAGTCTTTCTGGTAATTAATCAGTTTGGCTAGTACTTTTTCACTATGTTCCCTTATAGGCTTTTTTTTTTTCCTTATAGGCTTTTTAATTCCATAGGATTTTCACTGCTTTGATGACCTCTTTTTTCATTCTTGATTTCAGTGATTTCTACATCCTCTTTTTAAAACTGGTCAGCCAAGCTAAAGGTGTCTGCCACTGGCTTCTTTCTAATCATCAATTTTATTTCATTGACTAGATTTAATAGTTTTGTTTTGG